CTTTTTTTTTTTTTTTTTTTAATTTTGCTGAGACGGATTCAAACAGCAAAACAGTGATACCTGTTGTGTTATTGGAACGTTTTTGGAGGAAGAACTTGAAAAGCATCGAGAAATGTACTCTGACAGTTTTAAAACTAGTAACTGTGCAGTTATATTACTGTAAAAACATTTTTATTTGATGAAATTTTCTGGCTACTTCAGGATTATGCAGAAACTCCGTATGCCTTTATCCTAACAAAAGAAAAAAACCCCGTTGCCGTCGAGTTGATTCCAACTCATAGCGACTCTATAGGACAGAGTAGAACTGCCCCATAGGGTTTTCAAGGAGCACCTGGTGGATTTGAACTGCTGATCTTTTGGTTAGCAGCTGAAGTCTCAACCACTGCGCCACCAGGGCTCCTTTATCCTAACATTATCCCTAAAATGTTTCCATTCTCTTCATTGCCCTCGGTGCTTAAGGCATCATTGTGCAGTACTTAGAGAGCTGTGATTGAGTCAGAGAGGGAGCGTGGGGGGTGCTTTGCAATATGTGTTATTTGAAAAGCTCCTCAAGAAAAAAAAAAGGAAAGAAAACTTCTCCAGACTCACAGAACGGGAGTAGAAGACTGGACTGAATCTGTGCTTGACCCCCAGGACATTGTCTGAAATTAAGAGCAGTGTTTTTTTGTTTTGTTTTGTTTTTCCTTTACTGAATTCCAGATGTTATTAGCAGTTTGCCTTTTCCCAAATATAGAGCTCAGAAAGAAATTTTAGGCTATTGGGATACTGCTTATTCGCTTTTAATTGTACAGCTTGTTAACTACATGATGCAAGACAAGTGATCACTTTGCCTTTTGAGAGTTTGATGTATGTTCTGGGAGTTTGGGTATTATGTAGTTATGGTGTGACTTGATTAGCTCTTACATAAGGTTTTCACTTCATTTATTTTTGCTCATTATTTTGTTGTAAAGCCCTGTCTTACAACATTGGTGTTGAACCCAGAGTACTCTTTTCTTTCCCAATACCTAAAGCAAATAAAAACAGAGTTGCTTTGGTAAGGAGGGAGGAAGACATACTGTGTACTCTGGAGGCCTGCAGAACCCCCAGGAGCTCAGTTTGAATACAGTTTTTCTTGCTTAGCTGACGTCTAAGCTGTGGTGAAATACCACGTGAATGAGCTGAATTTTAGATGGCAGCTTATTTTGTTGAGAAATAATATACTGAGAAAGTGCTTTGACAACTTCGTCAATAGAAATAAATTAGTCAGTGGGCAAAAATAAATAAAAACCTTATGGATAAAGTAACAGTTTCTATTTATAACTTCCCCGCAGTGGTCCTGTTGAGCACCTGGTCCATGCCTTGCCCCCTTAAGGACTTTGATATAGATTGGATCATTTGCTCCTTCCAGCAGCCCCATGAAGCTCAAGAAGGTTAGATAACCCATGCCGTGTCACATTGTCAGGGATCAGGACTCATGTTGGACCTGGAATCTACATCTTACAATTCTTTCACCTACCACCATACTGCTTGTCATTTGGATTCTAAGTCTAAATGTGTTAGAAGTGAAGAGAGGAGCTGCTTTAGCCATAACTCCCAGCAATGGCAGAAAAAGACGGTTGTCTGACAGCTGTAGACCCTTTCCAAGAAAAACACATATCCACAAAATTTTGCATCCATGACATTCCCTTGAGGTAGACAGATCCCAGGTTGCAGGCAAGTGGACACTGAAGGAAGCATAGTATTAAACCTAGTACAGAAGTGGTGTATCTCGGTGACTAAAACCTTGCTCTGGAATCCCATCTGGATACATATCCTGACACAATCACTAGCTTTTTGACTTTGGACTGTTACTTAACCCTCCTGAGCCTCACTTCCTGTTTGAGATTATTGTAAGTACCAGAAATTATCTGCATGTCTGTGTATGTGTATGTGTACCATGTGTATCTGTACCCACATAATATACATGTATGTGTATATATAGAGAGAGAGAGAGACCCCTGGGTGGTACAAGTGGTTTATGATCAGCTGCTAACCTAAAGGTTGGTGGTTTGAACCCACCCAGCAGTGCTGCAGAAGAAAGGCTCAGTGATCTGCTTCCATAAGATTACAGCCGAGAAAACCCTGTGGAACAGTTCTACTCTGTAATACTTGGGGTCGCTATGAATTGGAATTGACTTGACAGCAATGGGTTTTTTGGTTTTATGTGGATATATATTACCTGCATACTTGCATGTATTTATCTAGTTTTATTTTTTTTCTAAGATAGTATTAATTGAAGGGTGAACTGTAACAGCTTTTAAATGTATACACACTTACTAGATATATTGTCACTAAAGAAATGTTCAAGTAAGTATGTTTTAGAACGTGGTACATATGTTGCTAGTATTTAAGAGCTATGAAGTATTGATTGCTATTGGTAGTATGATGATATGGGTTGTTTTTCTTGATGGACAGTTTCAGTCTTGCCAAAAATCTTCTAGGATTGCCCGTCGTCTACTGTTAATTAAATTTGAATTGCTCAGTCTGGTGGCTGAGGCTTCTCTCTCATTATAGCATTGTCTTCTCTTCCCACTTGTCTCTTACCTGGACTGCCTCTCCCTTTAATTTGGTACCCTCGTTTTTTAAGGCCCCTGGCCCTTCTCAGGTGCTCACCTCCTCTTTCTTCCTTGTAACTCAGTAGGTGATTTGTAAATCAATCACTGTAGACCAACACTGTCCAAAGAAAATACGCAAGCCACGTATGCAATTTTAAATTTTCTAGGAGCTACATTTTTTAAAAAACGTAATAAACGAGGTGAAATTAATTTTAATATATTTTATTTAATCGTGTACAAATATTCTGATGTGTAATTAATATAAGACATTATTAATGACATGTTCTTTTTTTGTATTAAGCATTCAAAATCTGATATGTACTACAGCACATTTCAAAGTTCTCAGTGCTGCATGTGGTAGTGACTGCCGTGTTGGAGAGTGCAGCTGTAGACCCTCGTTCTAATAGATAGTTGTGCCATGGTAGTGAAAGAGAAATGTGGATAATGTGAGCTGCTTGCCCTAGGAACACACTCAAGAATCATCATTAAAATGCTCTGATGAAAGAACTTGCTACATAGAACTAGAAATAAAGTGCTTTATAAATCAAATTTATTTCATCCAAATTTAAAATTACCCAAATTAGAAACATTTAAAGCTAACGTTCAGCAGCTATTTTTAATGTCTTATTCTACATTCCTCTAGTTTTAAATGAACAGCCAGAAGAAAACTATTTCATGACTTTCCAGTCAGCCCTCCATTTCCACGGGTTCCACCTCCACAGATTCAGTCAACCTCAGGTCAAAAATATTTGAGGGGAAATAAAGAAGTTTCCCAAAAAGCAAAACTTGAATTTGTCGCACGCTGAGCAGTGCGCTGAATCCACGTGATGCAGTGATGTGTAGGCACACCCTGCTGTAGCCTCCCGCCATTTCACAGCTCCTCAGTCTCTCTCCAGCACTTCTTGTTTGAGCATTGTTCACCTCGCGTCTCGTTCATTTGCTACTTGTGTTGTGTGCACCTTATGTTCTGTGAAATGGTTCCTGTATAACAATGAAGTGGCCAAAGCAGTCCCTTAAAAGCTAAATGTGAGTGAGTTGAGGAGAGCTAGAGGAAGGAGTGTCAGGCTAATAAGGGATGGCTAGCTAGCTCTGTAAAGTGCCATAGCCTCAAGAACTTAAACGTCACAGATGACTCGGCCTCAGCTGATGCCCAGGCAGTATCAGCGTTCCTAGAAGAGCTCCAGAAACTCAGAGAAGAGAAAGGCTGCCTTCCAGAGCAAGTCTTCAGTTATGGTGAAACAACTGTTTACGTAGCATTTACATTGTATTAGGTATTATAAGTAATCCAGAGATGATTTAAAGTATACAGGAGGATGTGCGTAGGTTATATGAAAATACCATGCCATTTTATATAAGAGACTTGAGCATCTGCGGATTTTGGTATCAGTGGGGATCTGGGAACCAATCCCCCATGGATACTGAGGGATGACTGTAATATGCTCAGAATAACCAGTTATTGATGTTATCAATTTAGGGAGAATCCTTATGAGTTAAAGTGTGGGTCTTGCCCTATTTATTGTTAAGTGCTATGGAATATTGTTAGATGAAGTTTCTCAGAGGTTGTGAACATATACTCTGTTTAGATGAATTATCGGACACAGTCTTATCTAATACAAATGAAAACTGATTATTAATAAAGTGTGTTTCATTGTCCCAAATTTGTGAGACTTGCCATTCTAAAACGAAATTCTCAGTTCCCTGGCTGGATCTTTTACCAAGAGTTTTTGCTTTGCCATCTAGTTTGGTAAAAAACCAGCCTGTATTCACAATGTCTGGCTTTTCATTAAACCTGTTTTTTTATCTTTCCGTTATTAATAATGGACCAAGACCAGGAAAAATCAGGTGCCTCCGTGACCCAGCCTCTACTGGGTATGTCGTCATTGTGGTACTGAAGGAGTTGTACCCCTAGTAGTTTTGTTTATGCAAATTATGAAGGGGGCACATGTATTCCTTTTAGTGCAATTCAGACATTTATTCTTCCTTCATTTAGAATTTAGAGGGTAGAGTCCACTTGCTTCCTTTTTGTACTTCATCCTAATTTATTTTCTGCCTTTGGGTTGTTTGACTGCAAAGTTGAAATACCTCATAAGAGTGCAGAAAGGCATCGTTTTAAGAGAGGCATATTCAGTTTACTTGTAAAATGTCTGCATTACGGGCTATTTTTTAAAGAAATGTAGCATACAGTGGCTAGTCTGGACTACAAAACTGATTTCATAAAGAAGGAATTATTTCTAGTTAGCCCATCTTTCTAAATGTTTAGAAACTACTTTTAATAAATTGAAATTTTTTTTCACAGACTTGTTTAGGAAAAAAAAATTAATGGACAGAAGGTAAACTTTAGGCCAGTTCTTGTTCATATTATAAGTTAGTAAAGGTGGCATTTTTAAGTTTTTTCACTAGAGGAATAACATGGAATTTTGAGAGTTCCTCTTTAAAAATGGTTTTGGGAACCGGTGTAATAAATAGATCACATAGGTGCCAAAGCTTTTATGCCATGCACATTTTATGTAGGATTGGAATTTATGGATCCTTTTCTAGCTTTATCATTTTCATTTTTGATAAAATGTAAAAGTAATAATAGCATTTTGTATGTGTAAAGTATTTTACAGATTCTCGGTTGGGAAAAGAGAATAATGCCTGAAGATTTACTCAAAGTAACTAGATAGAATAACCCTGGTTCCACTTATACTTTTCTTACCTTTGAAATTCTGTATGGTGTCAGTCACAGGACATAGTAATACAAAGGAAAAGTTTTATTCAAGGTATCATTAAAGTCTAAAAATTGTGCCTCATTGAAATTGAATCTCGACGACTAACAAATTTTTATTCTTAATTTCTCTCTTAAGCTAGTTATGTTTCACATTTGTTTCAGTTACGCTTCTTGATATCAAACGCATTGCCACGTTGGCAGGGTGCAGTGTTCCATGCACAAAACTCTTCCTAGTGAGAGCACTGATTGTAAAAAATGAAGTGGCCTTTCCTTTACATTTTTGGATGATGGTGATGATTTCCATCTTTACAGGGATTGGAATGGATACCTGTGTCATTCCTTTGAGGCATGGTGGTCTTTCCTTGGTTCAGACCACAGATTACATTTACCCTATTGTAGATGACCCTTACATGATGGTAAGTTTGACCAAATGTGTTCTCATCTGAAACTGCTTGTTCATTTTTTGTTTGTAGTTGGGGTTTTGTATGTGTGGGTTTTTTTGTTTTGTTTTTGTTTTTGCCATATCCAAATTGTACTCGCTGGGGTATAATGATGGCTTGATCCCCACTTTTGCAACAAATTGATATATCCTCTGCTCACATTTTCCTATACGTAAAGCACTTAAAGTAGAAGCAAGGAAGTGCCTCTGCTGCTTTGTATCTGAGTATATGTCTGTGCATATAAGAACACCTAATGTTGTAGTGGAATGTCTGTTGACGAGCATTTTTGTAGTTTTCTTCTTTCTTGTACCTTTCTTTGACATTTGTAAACTCCACCGCTCCTGTGTTTCAGGCTGGAGATGTTAACATACTCTAAAAGAATGGATCCTGGACGTTTCCTTCCAGAAATAAAGGAACTTAGCATCTCATCACAAAATATGATTAGGATAATCTGGTCACTTCCTCCGCCCCTCCCCCCCAATTGTGTTATATACAACTGTGTATAATATATATCTGAACCATCGAATTAAAATTCCTAGCTCCTGATCATGCACTGCTTAGATATATATTTTCAAATGTTCAATACGTGGTTGCAGCCAGCAACCCTTTAATCTACCAACCTTAACCCTACCACCTGCCAGCCAAGAGGAGCCAATGAAGAGATTGGGAAGATCCCTTTTGTTATAAAATACCAGATGCCCTGTGTGGCAAGGACACAGATCAAGCTGTGTACAGGGACTGTCCTTAGGCCATGAGGCAGCTAAATGGGGGGAAGGAGGTGTTCGTCTCTCTGGTGCTGGAGATAAGTAAACAGGTTATTAGAAACCTGTTTTCTCTCCACACATCCATCTGTTCTCTACTCTGGAGCAATACTCTGGAGGATGGGCAGGTGTGCCACACTACAGTGTTCCACCTGACCGGGGATCAAAGAAGGCTAGAACCAGAATTCATCCTGTTTTTTTCCAGCATCTCTTAAGAGAATCTGAGAGTCCAGAACAGGAGGGGCAGTAAGTTGCTGCACCCTGACCAGTGGTTGGCATTTCCAAGTTGCAAACCACCTGCTGGCATGTTGATTAGGCTTTGGTACTGTTAAAATGGGTCTGGAAGGCTGTTGAGTTGCATTGCTGATCTACCATGAATTCATAGGAAAATATAAGCAAGCAATTAAGTGACTGTTGAAAATGATAATACTTTGAAGTTTGGTTAGCCTAATGTCAGAGGAAAAATTTATTTTCTCCTTTACTGTTGAAGAAAAAACAATAGACAAGGCAACTTATATTTAAAAAATCTCAAATAGCAATATAAAAATCTGTTACCACATATTTATTGAATATTATGTTAAAGTTCCTAGTAAGATGATATATTTTACTAGAAAATGCTTCTCTTTTTCTTTCGAAAACAATCCAACTTCAGGCTTACGTGGTTTTTATTTCTGCTGTGTTTTTGTTTCTCAAACAGAATGATTATCGTATTTATCTCCTACAGCCTTGGAAGGAAGCTGAAAAATTTCTCAACCTGAATGCATAAAAACTGTCACCTTCTCTATAACCAGTAAAATAAAATTTAAGTCAACATTTTCTTGGATCTGTTTAGGATAAGTGGCTATTTCCTGGTTTACTTTAGGACAGTTGTTTTCAAACGTTCTCACTCCATAGCTCTTCATCCTAAACTATCATATCCAGCGTTGCTTCTCCCCTGACCGCTGGTCACATCCAAATTGCAGACTTCTAGTATTGACCGTGGGGAAGAGCATATACATTCTTGGTTCTATGCCGGAAAGGAGAGGGTAACAGGAACACCTGACACATAATGAATGATGCAGTGGTTCTGTGATTAAGGAAAGGTTACTAGTCTTCCGATCACAGCAGGTCAGGACCAAGTCCAGTAGCTGCCATTCCTGGAAAGCCCCTGAGTTCTCGAAGGCCCCTACATAGGCCTGCTCTTGGGAATTACATAGGCCTGCTTTTGGGAAATCCCCAGTTGTGCTTTCTCACATCCCCCCCTCTCTCCCCAGGGCAGGATAGCATGTGCCAATGTCCTCAGTGACCTCTACGCAATGGGAGTCACAGAATGTGACAACATGCTGATGCTCCTTGGAATTAGCAATAAAATGACTGACAGGGTAAGTAAGAGATCTTTCCAGTACAGACTATTCATGCTGTATTGGTTGCACCACTTGACTGGTTAGACCTTTGTTTCCCATCTGTGAAGTAAGGAGCCCAGGGTAGATGGTTTCCAGTAGGCCCAGGCTGGATGGTTTCCAGTAGTCCTTCTGGCTTCCATGTTTTAGCAGTTACCAGTAAATTAAAATGAGAGTCTGACCTTGTTCACCTTTTCATTTCTACCACCTGCTTATCTTTCTCTCTCCTGGGTGGACTGAACCAAGACATTGTTTTTTATTTGTTTTAAATAAGGCTTAGGTCATAGTGATAGTCCATTAGCAGTAGGTCAGTGGACTGGGGATAGCCTTACGGATAGATCCAGGGGCAGATGCAACTTAGAGGGGTGGAGACCCTTCTTTTTGGTTATTTGACTGGTGTAGACAGTAATGAGGGCTATCAGCTGGCAACATGTCCACATCCTTCCTACTTGTACCTGTTCTTTGTTCCGGAGATGAAATACCATTTAGGTTATTTTGGACAGGTACTTGTTTTTGTCCCCCCAGAAAAGTTTGTCTTTCCAGGAGGCCCTTCTCTACCCTGACGTGAATGTGTGAGTTGGTCATCTGTTGTGCACAGTGACATCGGTGAGGGCTTTCTTGGCATGAATTACCAGCACAGCCCTCAACCAGTGTTTGTTCTCCTTGGTTAGATGTAAAGCCATTTTGGGGAAGGGATGTGTACACATATTAAGCTGGTCTTGTGATTCTTAATAACCATTTAATTAATAGCTGCTTCAGATTTAGAGGCAGTCTTGTGGAGCCAGTCACGTTACTGTTTTGACTTCTCTGTTGTCTGGGCTTCATTCACATTGTAACCTAGAACATCTTCCAGCATTTGATAAAATGGTCATACTGTAAAATGTTTCCAGTGTCTGTTGCCCCCTGCCCTTTTTGTAAACTTTCAGGACTTACTCAGGATTTCACGATCCTGTTTATAGCTACAAGTGTAAACTCTTTCCTGGGTTGTGAACTGAATTACTTGACTTTTAATTTGTGTCCTTTTAAACCTTAGGAAAGGGATAAAGTGATGCCCCTAATTATACAGGGTTTTAAAGATGCGGCAGAGGAAGCTGGGACGTCTGTAACAGGTGGCCAAACAGTATTAAACCCCTGGATTGTTTTGGGAGGAGTCGCTACAACTGTCTGCCAGCCCAACGAATTTATCATGTAAGTTGGTTTTTCTTTCATGTCACCTGGCTGGTTGGTGTCTCTCTCTCAGTAGCTTTGTTGTTGTTGGGTACCACTGAGTTGATTTTGAGTCATAGAGATCCCATGCGACAGAACTACCCCAAAGGGTTTTCTAGGATGTAATTTTTATGGTAGCAGATCACCAGGTCTTTATTCCATAGAATTGCTGGATGGGTTTAAACCACCAGCCTTTGGGTTAGCAGCCGAGCATTTAACCGTTGTGCCACCAGGGTCCTTCCAAAAACTTTATAATTCACAAAGCCATACAGTTGGCCCACTAAATCTGAACCAATTTCCCCACACCCTAACCAACACCATGTTTTAAGAAGCTTCTTGGTCTTTGCCAGTCTGTTTGGTATTTTTAATTTGCACTTTTCTTAAGAGTAAGGTTGAACATAGTTTCATGTGTTCATGTCTTTTGCCCATTTTTCAATTTGTGGAAGCTCCTTTTAGAACGATTATCTGGCGGCTTTTCTTTAAGGATCACGCATTTGACTTAAATCAAGATTTTCTTTTTCTGTTTTATGTTGGTAGTTCTCAAACTTTCCACTTACATAGGACAAAGATCCTAAAGTCCATCAGTCTCACCCATTCCAGCTTTCCAGTAGAAAAAGAACTTAGTAATAGCTAAAAATTGGAGAGGAAAAAAAAAATAGTAAAACAAACTTAAATGAATTTTTTGACTGTTTACTTCATAAAAAATGAATGAGCCTATATGTGTAATTATCTTTTATTAGGAAGAAAAAAAAAGAAATACCCTAAAGCTTAACAATAACCCAATAATTTTATCACGCTTGGTTTGTCGATATGTTGTATAAATTCTTAGGTTGCACATAACCAGTGAAGTCCAAGAACGTATCAGCTTTAAGGTATGAATGATTCAAATTGAAAGACATTTCTGTTTTTGGAAAATTAGTTTCTCGTGTATCAGTTTTCTTATAATGTTTTGTTCCAGCAATAGCCTCAGTAGCAAGATGCTAGTACAGGGTGGCAGTTGGCTTAGATTTAAGTAAGTGTTTGTACAAATGTGTTTTTAACAGAATTTTTCTTCTAGTTTAATGATAAGGAATTTATTTCTTTGGTTAATTTGACTAGAAAACGCCCTTTTCCTTTTCTTCAGGCCAGATAATGCAGTGCCTGGAGATGTGCTTGTATTGACGAAACCGCTGGGTACGCAGGTGGCAGTAGCTGTGCACCAGTGGCTGGATATCGTAAGTAAACCACTTTTTGTTATTTTGGAGGTGGGGAGGGAGAGTGAAGCAATAATTTTTCAGGATCATGGATATTTTTCGTTAGAGGGTTTGGAGAAAAGAGTCATTCACATTGTATGTCAGTTCAAAGATAAATCTCTTTAGTCTACTTGTGTTATATCCACTTCTGAAGTAAGTGTCACTTCCATAAAGTAACTCCTCCTTGGACTTAATTTACCATATTTAAGATTTAGAATGTCTGAATGTCATCAGTTTGTCTTTTAAAAATGGGGTCCATTGGTTTTACTACCATGGAGTTTCATATCGGTTCAGTCCTTTCAGAAATCCTAGGAATTGTCTCTATTCTTCTAGTGATTGGAAGTTTCATATATTGAGTGCATGAAATATGTCCCAGCCTGGGGTTTCAAAGATTTTATAGAAAGAGTTTGGGAGGGCAGGGCATTAGGTTTTGTCTGTTTATTTTGTTTTGTCTGTTTATTTGGTATTTTTCACATCTTAAACAGCACGAAGAAATAATATGGAGGAGAATTTGTGAAAAATGTGATGTTTTGGGTATAAAATGAAGCTAAGGTTATTGACCATTTAAATTATTTTAGTTACGGGGTTTTTTTGTTGTTTTTGTTTGGTAGTTTTGTCTTTTTAAACTGATTAGTAACTCAGAACATGTTGATGTGTAATTTTTGTGTGAAGAATGTATCTAGAATACAAAGACATTTCTCCTGAGTCACTTTCCCACTGAGCCATAATCATACTTCATTTATCTTTTTTTTTTATTGCTGTAACAACTCACAAATTATTAAGATTGTAGTATACTTTCACATATCTTGGCACTTTTAATTTCTACAACTGTGATCTAAAACTATGAGTCCTGAGAAACAATTGAAAAGGAAGAGCACATAATTTTATACAGTTTGTCATCCAGGTTTATCTTAACTTGATATAGTAGAGTAATTCTCTCAGGCTGCCACATTCTTTAGTTATTTTAACCCCTTCATCTGATTATGATGGAGAGATTTCCTGCATCCAGTATTGACATCTGGAAATCAGATTGGAAAGCCATTACAGGGGAATAATCCACAGTCACTTTCCAATGCAACTACCCAGGTCTGAGTAATTTAGCAGGGAAGCTGGAGGGCAGGTTAGGCAAAGGGGTATCAAAGATGAGGTGGTTTGGAATTCTTCTGTCCTCCCCATCCCCAACTTGACACTACTTCTTTTTAATCAGTTCTTTTTTATTTTTTTTAAATGCTCTGAGTTAAAAAAAATCAAGTCCCAAAGATTATGTAACAACACAATACCCTTTTTATAAAGGTCAGAAACAACCAAAGAGTATGTTGTTTAGACATCAGTGTGTGTGTGAGTACTATTTTTTAAAAGGCAGAAGAATGATAAACACAAAATTCAGAATAGTTGTTATGTCTAGGGGAGAAACAGGGTGCTGCTACAAGGGGGAGCACATAGGAGGTTATTGCTAATGTCTAGTTATTGCATAGGAGCCCTCATGGCACAGTGGCTGATCACTCAGCTGCTAACCAAAAGGTCAGTGGTTCAAACCTACCAGCTGCTCCGCAGGAGCAAAGACAGCAGTCTGCTGCCATAAAGATCACAGCCTAAGAAACTATATGGGGCAGTTCTGCTATGTCCTGTAGGTTAGCTATGAGTCAGAATTGACTCAGCAGCATACAACAACAACAGTTGTTGCATTGGGCGGTTGGTTAATTATTATATTATTAAAAAAATGAATGAATGAATGAAAGGGCTATTAATGGATTAGTGATGATGGTGTGTCATAAACTAAGCATCGTGATAGCTCTAGTTCTTTAGCCCTCGCATAGATCTCACTGTCTTGGGAGTTTTGTGTTCCATGTTGCTGTGTGAGAGTAGATGGGAAGATACCTCTGCTAGATTGTTCGAAAATCAGACTGAGGAAAAAAGGAAAAGACTTTTTTTCTCCTTACTTGGATCATAACCTTTGTGGTTACCCAAGACTCTCTTGGTGTGCATGCAGTCGAGATTGTTTTTGCATTTATTTTGCCATCAAGATGACTTGATCCCAGAATTCAGCTAAAGTTAGTAAAAGCGTAACTATAATATGAAAGATAAAAGCTACCAGCTTTATAGAGGATATGGAAGGAGAACCAAAGGGCATTCAAAACTATTAATAATAGGCACAAAAAAAATTTAGAAAACTTAACTCTGTACAAAACTAGATGCATAAAACTTGCCAGAAAAGATGAGTAGGAAAAAATGTACTTCTTTTGTCCGTGGTTAGAAGTAAAGATTAATGACATTTTCCCCTCTTTTTTTCCCTCGCTTATGTTCCTATTATTAGCCTGAAAAATGGAATAAAATTAAACTAGTGGTTACCCAGGAAGACGTAGAGTTGGCATACCAAGAAGCAATGATGAATATGGCAAGGCTCAACAGAACAGGTATAAGGGGCCGGGGAGGACTCTTCTGTTGCAAGTGTTGACAAACTTTCTGAAAAGGACGAAGATAGTAAATACTTTAGGCTTTGTGGGCCATATAGTCTCGATTACATATTGATTTTATTTTTTTTACAACTCTTTAAAATGTAAAAAAAAATCATTCTTAGCTGAGGGCCTACCGAAAGGGGCCACGGGCTGGATTTGGTCCCTAACCTCGGTTTGCCGACCCTCTTCTATTGGTACTGGGTTCGGGTTCCATAGATCATTAATGGGAATCCAAATACGTTGTGTTTTCTTGGCAGAGATGAGCATTAATTGTAACTTGTATTAGAGAAAATAAATGGCTAATGCTTAATTAAACAGTATGTTAGAATAGGTCATGAATGTGTTTTAACCCGCTCTCTCTCCCTCTGTGCGCTTGGAGTTCTCCAGGACACTGAGGCTGTTATCAGCATCTTTACTGCCCATCTGGCCTAGAATCCCTGACAATGAGGACGGTGCAAGAACAGGGTAGAAGCAAAGTAAATATGGGTGAATTAAGGAATTTCTGAATCTCTGAAATGGAGAATTTAGGTTATATTTTCTCTTGGTTCCTTCCAACTCTAAATTTCTCTGTTTATGGGCAGTGTTGAATTTCTCTGTGTCCCAATAAAGATGTAAAACATGTTGCATGTTTGCAGAAGTATTTGACTTATTTATTAACTATTAACTTAAGGTGTTAACATCACTATATTTTTAATTTCTGGATTTGGTATATAAATGAGTAATTACATTCATGTCATAAATTTTTTCTTTACATTTTCTTTCTCGTCCTAGCTTTGTAGTATTGATAAAAAGTAGTATTAGTGATTGCCATTTATTTGTAGTTATTATGTGTCAGAACTTGACATACTTTCTCACTTAATTCTTATGACAAGAAGCTGCTGTTACCATTTTACAGAGAGATTAAGTAACTTGCCCAAGGTCACATAGCTGGTAAGTGATGGACTCAGGATTTGAAACCAGATCTGCCTCTGCTCATAATGCTGTTAAGCATTATATTCTACTTCTTCTCTTAATGATTTAGTAAGAACTGGAGGCCATGTCACAGACTTTGTACATAGTAATGTACAGAGTAATTGAACAATATTTTTACTGTATCCTAAGAGTTTTAAAAGTTTACAATAGGAAAGTTCAAGAGCCAGAACTCATATAGAAAGCAGCATGGCTTCCAGGGGAATCACTTGAGATAGTTTAAGCATTTATACTCACTGCTTTTACTGACTCTCATGCATGTATAGAAAGTACCAGGTATGTTTTATAATTAAGAAGGAAGCACTTTTCGCAGGTCTTTTGAAGTCCTAAACTCTGACGTGCCAGAGGAACGTTTCCAGAGAAGCATTTCTGTGGTTTGCTCTGTGTAAATGATTTGGAAGTGAACCAACATTTAGAATGAAAGCTCAAGAGGGCAGGGATTTTTGTCTGTTTTGCTTACTGCGATATCCCCAGCACTTAGAAGAGTGAAGGACGCATAGTAGGTGCTCATTAAATATGGATTGAGTGGGTGAGTTTTGTATATACCGTGTGCTGTTTATTCTTCTAGGTATTTCATGGACGTTTTCTTTTCAGTGCTCCTGTGGGTTGGGTCTTGTTATCCCTCTTTGCAGAAAAGGAAATGTGTGTATAAGAGATACATGACAGATGCTTTGCTCAGACCCAAGTCTAACTCCAAAAATTGTGCTCTTTCTATGACACCAGAGTTTCTATCTACATATGCTAGTGATTGAAGTTTATCTACAGTTTTTATCCTGGAAATACTAATTTTGTTTCTCTCATCATTAATCACATGTTTTACTAAAAGACTTGGGTTGTGTGGCGTCCTGTATTGGAACTTCAGGGGTATCTGATGAAGTTCAAGAATTTTGTCCTAAAAAAATTGCTCTTCAGTTACTTCCTTGAGATTCCCTTAACCAGAAATCAGAAATGGATTTGAATGCACTTTGTCTCTTCTATTCTTCAATTTCCCTCAAATGACTTTGAACCAAGTATATGTCATATTTAAGCCATGAATTCTTCAATTATTCTTCGACCTAGAGGACCTTAAAAGATCTTGTCTAATACTGTGATCTTAAAGTTACTTAAAAATGTGAAGAGACTTTTCTGACATTATCTTGTCTGCCACTCTGTTTTTTTATTAAAAAAATTTTTTTTTAAGATAGTAGGTAAAAAAGAATATTAAAAAATATATGCAGGTGGGTGGAGGGCTGTGGGGACCATGGTCTTGGGGAACATCTAGCTCAATTGGCATAACACAGTTTATAAAGAAAATGTTCTACATTCTACCTGGGTGAGTAGCGTCTGGGGCTTAAAAGCCTGTGAGCAGCCATCTAAGATACTCCACTGGTCTTACCCCTTCGGGTGCAAGGGAGAATGAAGAAAAACAAGATACAAGGAAAAGATTAGTCCAGAGGACTAATGGACCACAACTACCACGGTCTCCAGACTGAGTCCAGTACAACTAGATGGTGCCTGGCTACCACCACTGACTTCTCTGACCGGGATGACAACAGAGGGTCCTGGACAGAGCTGGAGAAAAATGTAGAACAAAATTCTAATTCACAAAAAAAGACCAGACTTACTGGCCTGACAGAGACTGGAGAAACTCTGCGGGTATGGCCACCCTTTTAGCTCAGTAATGAAGTCACTCCCAAGGTTCACTATTCAGCCAAAGATTAGCTAGCCCCATAAAACAAAATGAGACTAACAGGGCACAACAGTCCAGGGAGAAGGACTAGAAGGCAGGAGGGCACAGGAAAGCTGGTAAAAGGGAACCCAAGGTTGAGAAAGGGAGAGTGTTGACAGGTCGTGGGGTTGTTAACTGTTGTCATAGGGCAATATGTGTACTGTTTAATGAGAAACTATTTGTAAACCTTCATCTAAAGTACAATTTTAAAAAATTCTTCAAAAAAAAAAACATGCAGGGCTTAAAGAATAGCAATACAAGACCCAGTTAAGAAATAGAAATGTAAGAAATTCCGTGTAAGATGTAGAACATGGCCCTTGACGCCTCAGAGGTGCCCCTCTCAGATCCCATCACCTTCATTCCCCTCTTATGGGAACCACTTTTCTGAATTTTGTGTATTATCATTCTCTTGCATTTTAAAATATTTTTTATCATACAGGATTGTATCCCTAACTAAGTAAGTTTTACATTTTTAACTTCATAAAAATAGACTCATACATGAGTGTGTTTTTCTTGCTGTTTTCATCCAACATTTTAATGTTTCTGAGATTGATCCCTGCTAATGTGTAGCTGTTGTGGTGCAGTGGTTAAGAGTTTGGCTGCTAACCAAAAGGCTGGCAGTTTGAATCCACCAGCCGCTCGTTGGAAACCCTGTGGGACAGTTCTGTTCTGTCCTGTAGGGTCACTATGAGTCGGAATTGACTTGATGGCAGTGGGTTTTTTTTTTGTTGTTGTTAACGTGTAACCGTAGTTCGTTCATTTTCACCACTGTATAATTTTCCACTAAATTATTATTCTAATTGAGTTACTGCCCTGAACTTCCTTGTGCAGGGCTTCTGATACCCATATGTAAGAGATTGGTCCTCCTTTAGCTTTTCAGATAGTGCCACACTTCACAATAGTATACTGCATTCAAAAAATTTTTAAATGTCTTCTCTTTGTGTTTATTTTATTTACATAACTATTTGTGTGTATTTTTTTTACTGTAAGAGAAGTATATGCTCATTTTAGAAAGTTTTTAGAAAATGGAGAAAAGTGGAAAAAAATTGTCCATCATCCCACTGAATGGTGTATTCTTCCAGGCTTTTTTCTGTGCTTGGTTGGAGGTGGAGTTGTGTTTTACTGTTGTTGTTTTATACTGCTGGTCATCATAGATTCTGTATGTATTTGGGGTCTGCTTTGATTTATTTCACATTAGTAAGTTCTTTTTGCTGTATTATTACATAATCCTAGTACGCATAATTTTTGATGACTAGATAATACTTTTGGACAATTCATTTTGAAAGAATTTTTCCATAATTGTCTTCATTTCCTAGTGCTGCTATAACAAATACCACAAGTACGTGACTTTAAAGAACAGCAATTTATTTTTGCACAGTTCTGTAGGTTAAAAGTCCAAATCAAGGTCTCAGCTGTGTCAGTTACTTCCTTGTAGGTAGTCTCACATGTTCTTGGTTCTTTGGCTTGTAGATGATCCTTACATGGCATTTGTCGTGTGTGTGTGTGTGTGTGTGTGTGTGTGTGTGTGTGTGTGTCCTGCTGTTTTTAAAAACTCAGAAGTGATCACATTTAGAACCCACCCCCACTCTGATATGATCTAATTATAACATAACAAAGAAACCCCTATTGCCAAATAAGATCACTTTCACAGGTATAAAGGTTAGGATTCCAACACATATTTTAGAGGGACACAATTCAGTCCAAAACAAAAATTTTTCTGTATTCTATGACTATTATGAAATATTCTAAAGCTGAATTGAATTTAATCTATGTCCTCAGATATTCTCATTATTTAAAACGTAGGTGTTTCATTGATGTTCCTGGTCCTATCACTCAAACTGTTTAAGGAATCTTGCAGCTTTGGTTCTTCAAATTAAGTAGTTTAACAGAAAGAAAGTGATTTGTAATGGCTTTGTCCATGTGGGTTATTGATTTCCTTATATTTGAGTATTTAAGATTTCCCTACACTTACTTTCTTACATTGTTTGTAGGAATGCAGTGTGTTAGGACCCTTACGGAGGAGTATTTTGCCATATCTAGCAAAATTACGTATGAATTTACCTTTTGAACTAGCAGGCTTACCTACAGGAATCCCTCCCAAAGTTCCAGTGGCCAAAATGTAAAATGACATATGTACAAGGCTAGTCATTGCAGCACTGTTTGTAATTGCTAAAGAGAGGACACACCCAAGTATCTATCAGTATGGGACTGGTTAAATTATTTACTTTACATGCATATAGTGGAGTACTGTGCAGCTATAAAAGGAATGAGAAGGATCTTTACTGCTAGGGAGCTGTAGCCTCGAGAATACAATCAAGTGAAAACAAGGGACAGAAGCATCAATATACTATGCTATGTTTTATGTATTCATACATGACTATGAATGCATAATACATACGAAGAGCTGCTACAGTGCAGGTGATGGCTTTATTAAATGTCATTGAAAAGTCCCTCTCTGACTACCCGACTGGACTGTATAAATATGTTAATAGAATGGTTAGTTATATCTGTTCCCTTAGCCAGCACAATGGTCTAGAAATCCCAATTCTCTTCTGTGCCTCTGTTTAGAATGCACCTAAGTAAAAGAGATAATTGGTCTAAAAAGAGGAAATATACCAAAAAATGCATTCACTCTAGAGTACTTCTTCCATGAGAGAAGGTTTTAAGTTTTTAAAAACTAACCTTTCAGGCAATTCTCTTCTAGATAGAGTTCCTGATTTTAGTCTAGACAATCTTAAAAAGTCCTGTTCTATGATTTTAGGATGTTTTTGACAAGTTTACCTTCTATTGAGATCGTAATTCCTCGATACAGTTTTTTTTTTTTTTTTAGTTTACTGGGAAATGATTGAAGCTGCTGTTCTAAGTGGTTCAAATTGAAATAAATCAACTTTCAGAATTTAACTCTGGTTTTTGTTGATTTTTAGTTGTCCCTTTCCGCCATCTCCCTGAGAATGAGGAGCAAGATAAGTAACTTATGTAAGATTTGAATTGAGGAGTCACCATTTCCTGAGAGTCACCATTTATTACTCCAGCTAATGCCTCCCCTGTCCTCTTAGCTGCAGGACTCATGCACACGTTCAATGCCCATGCAGCCACCGACATCACAGGCTTTGGAATTTTGGGCCATGCACAGAACCTGGCCAAGCAACAGAGGAATGAAGTGTCATTTGTGATTCACAACCTCCCTGTACTGGCCAAGATGGCAGCTGTGAGCAAGGCCTGTGGAAACATGTTTGGCCTCATGCATGGGACCTGCCCGGAGACATCAGGTACAAGGATCCTAGGTCCAAATCTGAGGATTTAAACTAGTGAGGCTAACGGAAAGTTCCATGAGAAAGAAGAATCCAAGTACATGAGTATGACTCCACTCTGCGGTCAGTGCTGATAACCTGGGCCTCCTTAGCAACTAATGTTTTTAGTTCCCTCCAGTGCTGTAGGTTAACAGCCTCCTGCCATTGGACGTGTGGTTGAGCATCGTGATTCTAAGTTGTTTCTGTGTTTGCCTTGCTGATGTAGGAATATGGTGATGCCGTGAGAGGGAAAGAGACTATGGGAAAAAATAAATCCTTACTCAGTTTTCATTGGAAATTTAGCATTTGAAATAAAATGTAGTATATGTAGATGATTACATTGAGTAGGCTGTATTTTTCCTTGATGAGAACTGTCTAAAATTGCTGTTTTAAGAATGAGATAATACATTTTGTCTGTTAGGTGCTATTTTTCTTTTTTTCCCCTTTTTCTCTCTTTTTTTTTTTTAACTCCTCTGTTTCCTCTTTCAAGAGTTCTTTTTTTCCCTTTTAGTTTCTCTGATACCTATTTTCTTGCCTCTAAAACTCAGTCATTTTCTACCCTGGCAAAAGAGTGGAATCACCTGGGGATTTAAAAAATATCCATGCCTAGATCTGACCTGTAGAAAACCTGATGTAATTAATTGGTCTTGGGTGGGCTTGTTGTGGTTAGTTGCCATCAAATCCTAGACATCAGTAATTATAAAAGCTCTGTAGAAGATTCTGGTGTCAGCAGGGACGAGGACCACACAGCCTGCCCATGTGTTAGTCCCATGTAGAATGGCTTTAGGTTTTTAGAACTCCAGTAGGGAGAAGCTGTGCCTCTCACAGCCTTTGTAGAGGACACTTCAACCTTTCAGTTTTCTGGGTTTTTTTTTTTTTTTTTTCAAACCCTAGAAATAAGCTCTAAGAGGGCAGGGACTTTTATTTAGTTTTTCAATGTTTGGCTAGAACAGTGCCTGGCATCTAGTCTGCTGAAGAAATGTTGAATGAATTAATGAATGTTACCAGCAGATTAAATCCTTTTCTTTATCCAGAAGTTAGAAATTTTTACTCTTTTTTGTGAAAGCAAGGTACATCTTTTCCTGGGGTATTACTTCCACTTATAAATATACAAAACTTTCTGTCCAAACTGCTAGAAATAGCAAGTTTGTTTTTTTTTTTTAATTTTATTTTATACTTTTTACTATTTTGGAGATAATGACAGGGCCAGCACACACACACCAACAAAATGCAAAAAAGCATTCTTTGTAAATTGAGGGGCCAGTGTCGAGAATCAAACTGAATCTTATTTTTTAAAAGAGTAAGATAATTCAAATTGAAATTGAATCTTTTGTTTTTAAATACGTCTTCAGTGTAACATGGGAAAATTAGCCATCACTTATGTTATTGAGGCCCCAAATACTTTAATCCCTCAGGGCTTTAAATGGTTCAGAAATAGATCCTTTTCAGTTTAAAGTTTGCTTTTTTGTTTTTCGATAGTAAGAGCTTACCAAGAAATTCTTAATTACTCTGCAGTTTGATCTGTGAAATAGGTGCAGGCAGGATGGAGCAGGCTTCTTATCTGAACAGAAAGAGCAGCTTGCACATCAAAAATTGTTGATTGGACTTGGCTCTGTAGCAGACGTGTTTTCGAAGGATAGAGGGCAGAGAAACTGCTCACAAAGTATCAGCACTAATGATAATTCTTTTTCCTTTGCCAGGAGGCCTTCTAATCTGTTTGCCGCGGGAGCAAGCAGCTCGGTTCTGTGCAGAGATTAAGTCTCCCAAATATGGAGAAGGTCACCAAGCATGGATTATTGGGATTGTAGAG